ATTCTCCAGGGGATCTTCCTGACCCAGGGATAGAACTCACATCTCCTGTGTCTCCTGCATTGGCAAGTGGATTCTTTACCACGGAGCCACCTGGGAAGCCCCGAGAAGGCAAATCCAGCTCAGCTACAAAGCCCAAAGTTGGCTGAGCCTTGGAATCCCTGTGGGAGAAGACCATGGAGCTAAAGGGCTTCCACGATCAATTCACAGATGAGGAAACTAGGCTCAGGGGGGAAGTACCTTGCCGAAAGTCACAAGCTAACATCACTCAGTCTTTAACCAAGGCTTATCAAGCATCTATTGCATGTCAGCCACAGCACTAGGCACTGAGAATGAACAACCGTGGGTTAAGCCATGGATTCTGCCATCAAGGTACCCATAAGGTTACCTGGGGAGACAGACATTTGAGCAATTATGACAGGACCCGGCTGAATGTCATAGTGGAAAACATTCAAGGGGCCATGGCACCATTAGAAGAAAGTTAAGCAATTGTCTTCAGAAAAGGCAGAAGAGAAGACACGCAAACTAAACAATGCCACCCCCAACAATGCCCAGGTCCCTAATCCCCAGGACCTGCAAATACGTTACCTTACATGGCAAAATGGACTTCACAGATGTGACTAAGTTAAGGATATCAAGATGGGAAGATGATCCTATATTATCCAGGTGGGCCCAATGTAATCACAGAGGCCCTCAAAAGAGGAAGGGCAGAAGACTCAGAAACACAGAAGATGTGCTGATGGGATCAGAGGCCAGAGATTCTGAAAGAGAGATGAAGATGCTACACTGCTGGTTATGAAGATGGAGGAAGTGACCACAAGCCAAAGAATGCAGGCAGCCTCTGGAAGCTGGAAATGTCAAGCAATCATTGATATTTGAGACTCTCCCCAGATCTTCCAGAAGGAATGCAGCTCTGAAACATGTCGATTTTAGCCCAGTGAGATGCACTGTGGAACTCAGAACTCAAGAACTCTAAGAAAATTAATCTGTGCTGTTCTAAGCTACTAAGTTTGTGACAATTTGTTAGAGCAGCGACATGGGAAAGTAACACAGGTTTCATCAGCGATGGAGTGAAACTGAAACTGTGCTCCACCAAAAGGGGACAGCTGTCTAAGACAGGAGCTCAGGGTGCTGAAAAATCTGTTTCAAGTGCTGTGCCTGGAGGTGAGGGGGTGTGAGAGGAGTGGGAGATGAGGCCTTACACGAGGCTGGGATCTTCAGAGCTGGCCCTGCTGAACCGCCTGGAGTCGACCCACTACTTTCTACCCTTTCTCTGTGTTACTTCATCCTTCCTTGTTCATTTCCTCATCTCTTTAGTGAGGATAGTGAAGGGTGTAGGTTTTTTTCCGGGCACTGGAGATGATCAGTGTAAAGTGCTTAACATAGTAGCTGCGCATGAGCTTTCCATGCATGTTAGCAAATGTGATGCCGTTGTCGCTGGGGGTGCATTGAAGCTTGGCTCAGGAGATTATTGCTAAGAGTGGGAAATGGCTTATACATTTCTTGGCCCCCTGTGAAGTGGCCTTGTACCTTATTGGGTTGCCTCTTCTTGGTCCTCCTAACCAGTCTCAGGTGATGCCCTGTGTCAAGATTCACTCATATCAGCCACATTCATGGGTGAGAAGAGAATATGGTTTTGCCTGGGATGTGCCTGGGCAGCCTTGTTTCTTGGGACCAAGTTCTGCTATGAGACACAGCAGGGCAGAGGCCACAGACTCCTGCCTAGGCTGCAAGCTACCTGGTACAACTCCAAGAAAGCACCTGATAAGAGGTGAGACAAAACCTAAAAGGCAGACGCCTTTCATCCACCTTCCTGTCCCCTCTTCTTAGTTCCCCAGACCCATCTCCAGCTCATCCTGGCGTCCTGAGTTTTGTTTCTGTCTTCCTCATACTTCTTACGATGGAAAATGACGCACTGCCTTCTTTTCCCCCAGCTGGGCATTCTCAAGCTCCTCGGCTGACCCCACACCTTGCTCTGGGCTCTGAGTAGCTTACATGAAATGGCTCACTCGGTGCTGGAATCCTGAGCCAGTTGGGACCATGGGCTCCTGAGGACTAAGCTGGGAGTCAGGTGCTGGGAGAAGAATGATAAATATTGAGTCCTTACCCTTGTGTGTTCCGAGCTAAATGGGACAGGGAAAAATGCTTACAACCCTTTCCTAAGCTATCTTTACACTGTAAAACAGGCTAACAAACCCAAAGCAGCAATTGGAGCAGCCTAAAGGCTTGGGAAGGCCCCTGACGCCCTCAAATTCTGCTCTGGAAGCAGCTGTGTACGCTGGACACTGGCTCAGGTGACCACGCCTCCTTGCCAAGCCCAGAGGGCACAGCTTTGAGCATCCCAGGAGCTCTTATCTTGGATGACCTGAGTCATCCCTCTGAGTCTCAGTTACCTCATCTGTAAAATGGCTATAGTCTCCAATGGCTTCATGTGCCTTAAAAGGAGCCGACTAGTAAAGAATCTAGAACAGAGCCAACACAGAGTAGGTGCTTGACAAACACTCGGACCAAATTCCTATCCAGTGCTCCAGCCTGCCAGAGCCAAACAGGATAAAAGTCAGACCCCTCATTTCCCTTCTCGAAAATAAACCCTGGTCCTCCCATGCACTTTGTCCCATTGTACGTAGTACAACGTGCTCTATAAAAGACAGGAAGGCTCTCAAGGACCCCCACCCCCGATCTTTCCAATTTTTTAATTGGGGGTGCAGGAGATTTTAATTAGGGCAGTGGCGCCAAAAAGGAAACACCACAGCAGGCCCCCGTGGGCCGAGCTCCTGCCTAGAGTGACGCCCAGACAGCATGGTCAGCAGAGGGTCACCCTGTCGTGCAAACACCCATCCCCCGCTGTCACTTCACATTAAAGGGCCAGGCTGCAGGGAACAAGCTGCCCGGTGACAGCTGCTCTCATTAACACTGTGCTCTCCCAATTTCTCTCCCTTCTGGCCTTGACTGAAAAAAAAATACTTAAGAAAGTAAAGAATAAAGCCCACAAAACAGCCAGTCCCTAGGCTAGGGTTTCCAGGCCAAGGCTGGCTGGCAGCTCAGATGCGACTTTCTCCGTGGTGCCCACTCTGGTTGCCCTAACTCCATGCCCCGCTTCTCACCTTGCATGCCTGCTAAAGTGCCCTGGTCAGTCTTCATGATGGCCCCTCATTCTACTGTAGTTCCTGAGTCTGGCTCGGCTATGAGCAACTGAACTGGGATTGCCTTGAAAGCAAGGACTGTGCCTTATCCATCCCCCTGCCTTCAAAACAATGTTCTCAAGAAAAAGTGGATCAACTCACGGGTCCTAGCTTTGTTTGATTACACACCCATTCACTTAGTCTGAGCTAGCATCCCTGAGAGGTGTTGGTGACATAGGGGGAATAACATATATACTGACTAGGGTTCCTGTCCGGGAGGAATAGTCTAAAGGGAAAAACATGTCTACAGTTCCAACACAGAGTGATGAATACAGAAGACAAGGTGGTTAGTGCAGGGAGATACCAGGCGTCAGCCAGCCTGAGTACCCAGGAAAGGACCAGGGGCTAGTCTAGAGCTCTCTGCCTCATGATTCTCACCGGGAATGAACGAGGGTTAAAACTAACAACACGACCTGCGCGTGTAGTTCTTGAACACCCAGCCAGCACTCTGTTCTAGAACTCCTGCTGAACCGGGGTAAGTACCCCTTGGTACAGACCAGGAAAGCATGGTGTGAGAGGAGGTGCTCAGTCATGCTGGCTGAATAAGCCCCTCAAAGGTTCCAGCACAAAATTTAATGTTGTACAGATTTTTTTTTTAAGTTTCTCTTTTTGACTCTTAAATAAAACAACTTGTTGCAGGCAAGAAAAGCAGAGATATCTGAAGAAACAGAGGCTCAGTGGTAGAATACCTCACCCCACCCTCACCAGGAGTCAGGGAGGAGATATGTGAAGGGGTAACCCTGCCATTTGGGGCAAATCAGAATGTGATCCATTCAGGACCATTCTCCAGGAAGCTCTATGGTTTGATGTACAAAGCCCCCAGGTTAGGAGAGGGCTGAGCCTTCGCCAAGCTCTCTCTCACCCAGCCAACACCTAGTCAAGGGTCTGACTAAGTCCAGTAAAGGTCACGGTGGTGGTGCTGGTTTAGTCACTAAGTCATGTCCAACTCTTGAGACCCCATGGACTGCAGTCTGCCAGGCTCCTCTCTTCATGGGATTCCCCAGGCAAGAATACTGGAATGGGTTGCCATTTCCTTCTCCAGGGGATCTTCCCAACCCAGGAATCAAACCCAGGTCTCCTGCATTGCAGGCAGATTCTTTACTGAGCTCCAAGGGAAGCCCAAGGTCACAGTAGGAAGGGTATAAGTTTTCAAGACACTGGGAAGTACCTCTGGATAGTAAGTCATCACCAAAGCAGCATGTGAACAACAGATGAGTCACAGACTCTTGACATGTGACTTGGGACAAGTTTCTTCCCCTCCTGAACCCCAAATGCCCTCATGAATAGAGTTAAGTGAGTAGGATACTATCTAAGATACCTTGCAATTGCAACTATGAGCCTTACCCTTCTGGAGAAGAGGATTTATAGAGTCTGCTGGATTAAAACTTCCATAGGGACTTCCCTGGAAGTCCACAAGTTAAGACCCCGTGTTTCTGATGTAGGGGGCATAAAATCCCCCTTATGTTGAGGAGATAAGGTCCCACATGCCTTGTGGGGAAAAAATCTGACGCCTGTGGCAATAGTTATACAACTCTGTAAATATACCAAAAATCACTGAATTATGCAAGTAAAGCAAGTGAATTGTATGGTAGGTAAATTATAACTCAAAAAAAAATTTAAAAATAAAATAAAACTTCCAGGTTGGAAAGAAGCAGGAATTATCCTCAGTTCATTGAAGAGGTCCTGGGGCAGGGTGGCTCCCGGGACACCAGGCAGAGAAGAGGATTGAGAGTGCCCCGGCTCTGGTCAGTGAACCAAAAACATTTAATGAGCAAGTTGTTCATGACCCTGCTCATGTGCTGAGGACCAGAGGCTACTTACTATGCAGCAGGCCACCAGGGCTCCTTGGGCAAATCCCGCCAGGACATCGCCAGGATGGTGCTTGTGGTCAGACACGCGGGACAGTCCTGTGTAAAAGGCCATCATGATCAGGGTGAATTGCAGAAGGGGCCGGAGCAGGCGGGCCCCTCGCCAGGTGAAGCGGGCCTGCAGGTACAGCTAGAGGGAGGAGACAGAAACAACAGACACCGAGTGACTGGCTGCTCACCTGCATTCTAATCCCAGGTCAATTCCCATGCATGGAATCATCCACAAGAAAGAGCATTCAAACTGGACTTGACCTCAAGCCCATTTTTTTGTTTGTTTTAACTTAAGCCTTAGTTCCTCTACTAAAAACTAGGAAAAATGGAGCTTTTCTTGGAAGCTAAACTAGAGAGAATTGAAGCAAAAAATTCAAGAGAGTGGCCTTAGCACACTGCCTGACATTCCATAAATGGGAGTTTCCTTTTCTCATTTTTTGATTGAAACCAAGAATACTAACCAGGGTTCATAACGGTTTCTTTTTTATATTCAGTGACAACTCATTCAATGCATGTGTGTATCTTCCTAGAGATTATGGCTACACAATTCCTTCACTTCCCACCTCTCAGAAGCATCATGGAAACTCATGCATGCTGATCAGGGGAGGTTATTATGACAGTCACAAAGCAATGCTTCTGATTCAAATGAAAGCAACTCTAACAGAACAAATTTCTAAGTCACCACCTGCAACTATGGATTCTGCATCACAACATGAGGAAACATATAAACCAACCAGACAATGCAAGAGATCTTTCAAACAGAGGTTGACAGAGACTGGACTGGGTGGGGTAGAAAAGTAACCTGAAGGAAAATGGAAGCAAAAAAGCCACTCTGGCTGAAGCAAAGAAGTTGCAATGACGTCAACTGGGTATTGTCCCTTGAAGTTATCTTGCTGCAGTTTCCGTTCTAACCTCTGGGCACAACCTACTTCTCAGGTTCCTGTGGGAACTTGGGAAATGAAGGGGAAGAGGCAAGAGGACGAAGGGGAACTTCCGACACAAATCAAAGCAAGGGGTTGGGAGACCAGAGAAAGGGGAAGAGAGCGGAGGGGTGGGGCGGCGGCCTAAAGATAGACCTGGGGCAGCAGCAAGGCAGTGACTCTGCCCTTCCTGAGACAAATGGACACCTTCCTCTGGGTGGTCAGGAAAGACAAGCCAGCAGCAAACCTGAGAGACAGAAGAGTGGAAGATTCCAGAATCATTCTTGCCCATGTAGAAAGAATGCCTAACACTGACTCCTCAACTACTTGGAAGACAATTTCAAAAAACCCAGACCTGGAAAACAGCAGGCAACTTTATAATCATTATGAAACTACATAAATATATTTTGGGGAAATCTAAGAACAACAGATAAGAAATTTTAAAGGACAATGCACTGATGTTGTTGGCCGCTAAACAAGTGATAAAAACCAGTCATTTTTCAAATATTAAAAATACCCCATTAAATATCAAAAAGAAGTAAAGCAATTATATGCTAATTAAAAAAATAAAAAGTAATTTAAAAGAAGAGGTAAAATCATCGTAATAGCCCAGATGATGATATAAGCAGAAATTAACTCACCAAGAACTGCATAGAGCCAGGATGAAACAAAGGACATGGAGGACAATTTGAATAGACAGAATTTTTATTTTTAAGAACACTCAACTTATAAACTCAAAAGATAATATGTAAATTTAATCAGATTCCTAGGAACATCCTAAAAAGGTTTAGAGAAAAAACTTTAAAAAATTATTATAAAATTAACCTAAAAGGTCAAATAAATAAACACACACACACACACACACACAAATAGATCAATACATAAGCCAGGCACTATGCTAAGTGCTAAGCACACAAAAATGAGAAGTTATCATTCCTCCCCTATGAGGGGCAATATATGAAATATATTAAATATAGATGTCCATATAGTCAAGGCTATGGGTTTTCCAGTAGTCATGTATGGATGTGAGAGCTGGACAGTGAAGAAAGCTGAGCGCCGAAGAATTGATGCTTTTGAACTGTGGTATTGGAGAAGACTCTTGAGAGTCCCTTGGACTACAAGAAGATCCAACCAGTCCATCCTAGAGGAGATCAGTCCTGGGTGTTCACTGGAAGGACTGATGTTGAAGCTGAAACTCCAATACTTTGGCCACCTCATGCGAAGAGTTGACTCATTGAAAAAGACCCTGATGCTGGGAGGGATTGGGGGCAGGAGGAGAGGGGACAACAGAGGATGAGATGGCTGGATGGCATCACCGACTCGATGGATGTGGGTTTGGGTAGACTCTGGGAGTTGGTGATGGACAGGGAGGCCTGGCATGCTGTGATTCATGGGGTCGCAAAGAGTCGGACACGACTGAGTGACTGAACTGAACTGAACTGAAATATAGATGAATATATGAAAACAGGTTTAAGTGCACTTATGGATTTTATAGAAACTATGAAAGAAGCTAGGGAACCAGGGTCGGTTACTAAGGGGTATGCATACTTGATTTGAATCCTAAAGATACATAAGTATTTGCTAGGAGTTAAGGGGATGTATTGAGAAGTGTGTATCCCAGGCAGCTCAATGGCTTAGCAGCCAACAGTCAGAGCTGAAAAGAACTTCTGGAAGTTCAGTAATAACAGAAAAGTATATATGCGATCAGTGGGGGTGTGGGGGTGGCAGAGTGTGAGACACAGGGCTACAGAGGCAAGAGGGGCAATTCAAGAAGGGGGTTGCCTGTCAAAGGAATGTGGCCTCTATTTAGGTCAGTCTTTCTTTCCCAAACCAGACTTCATGGAACATTCCAAAGGTATTTTTTAAAAAAAGGTTGATAAATACTTAATCCTTACTTTTATCACTTATAAGACTTATTATTTTTCTAGAGTATCTACCTATTGAATCCCAACTGGGAAATATTACTGTTAGCCATGGTGAAAAAATCAAATTATTTTTAAGTAAGAGACTCATTACCCACCCCCAGCCCCCAAATAATGTGCAGGTCAAAGGCCACTCCCTCATTTCTAATGAAATAACCCAACAAACAGCAGATTCTGCAATCATGAGTCAAAGGAATCTCTTCGTTTTGAGAGTGATAATGGGAATGATGTTGGTAGCCCCAACTCAACCTGGTCCTTAAGACAATGGCAAATTCAGGGAAGAAGGACTAGTCCATATGCAGTGTGACCACCATAGTCCAGCCTTCTTCCAGCCAGTCTTGTCAAGGAACAGGGATGAAGGGGGTAGCTGAAATGGCATAGGTTTTCATCAGATAAACCTCACTAAGCCTCACTTTTCTCCCATGTAAAATAAATGTAACAACTACTTCATAGACTGCAGCACAGATTGGTGATAAATGCCTGGCACCACGTACTGCTCAAAGAAACACATGATTTCACTCTCTAGCCCCTTTTATTTTTCTTAATTTGGACCTGATAACCTCAAGATTTTCTCATTTCTCCCAACTTAAAAATCTACAGGTCCTCAGGAAATGATTGTTTAAAAATCCTCCAAGTCTCCCTGCCCCACTCCATGTAGCCTTTAAGTCACCGGCCCTGGAGATGGAGGTGGAGCAGAAGAAGGGCAGGTTTCCCAACTGGACGAGGCACACATCTCCCCATCCACTGACTCGGATACTGAAAGCTAGAGCTTCATACAAGAAAAGAATAAATATGTGAGAGGAGCTTGAGGAGGGAGGAAGAGACATGTCGTCAGAATAGCTTCAGGAAGGGAGTGCTTAGGAAGGAGGCGGGGGCCACCATGGGGCTAGAATCCCTTTGGCAGGCAGTCCCAGGTGGGGAAGTCGGTAAAGAATGTGCCTGTCAATGCAGGAGACATGGGTTCGATCCCTGGGTCGGGAAGATCCCCTTGGGAAAGAAATGGCAGCCCACTCCAGTATTATTGCCTGGAAAATTCCATGAACAGAGGAACCTGGTGGGCTACAGTCCATGGGATAGCAAAGAGTCAGACATGACTAAGCATACACACACACACACACACACACACACAGACATGGAATTAGTGGGCAGATGGAAGCTTGCTCCCCTACATCCACTGGTAACTAGTACTTTTATTGAGAAATGTCTCGAGATCTCAGGATCAAGTCTGGTGTCTGCAGCTGGGGCACAGGAGTAACCAAGTGAATTCTGGGATGAGATGACCCTGATTCCTGGAGAAGGAAATGCAACTCCAGTTTTCTTGTCTAAGAAATGTGAAGGACAAAGGAGCCTGGCGGGCTACAGTCCACGGGGTCACAAAAGAGTCAGACATGACTTAGCATCTGAACAGGCCCCTATCTCAGGCCCTTACTAACTTCGCTAAGGCTCAGTCTCCTCTGTGAAACAGGAAGGGCAGCATCTTCCTCTCAGGGCTGCCGGCATCAAAGGAGACATCACAGGACCCTGCCTGTCAGAAGACAGGGACTGAAGCCACTCTTTAGAAATCACCACCACCCATTCGCCTTGATAGATGAGACTGACTCAAATGACTGTAGCTGATTTCACCAAAATAAGTGAATCACTGAAGAAAAAGATTGTGCAATGACCTTTAGCCCAGTGACTACTTCAGAAATGAGACGGCAGCTGAGGGCTGCAGGCTTTGAGGTTGATTTAAGAATCTGATAACACCCTCTACCCCACCCCAATCTAAGTGCTAAACAGATTGGAGTTTGTTAGTTCAAAGCCCAGTTCACACGAGCCACTCACTCCAGGGCCAGAGGCTCAGGCCCTCTCGGAATCCGTGAGTACATTCTGGAGCGCCCTGCTCCCTTGGAAATTCCACCTGGGAATGCAATGTGGGTCAGGAGGCTCCATACTCCATAGAGGCAGGTAGCCCTTATCCAGGAGATGGATTCAAACATACCAGCCACAAGGATGTAATGTCCTGTTATGGGCCAAAGAGCACGGAACCTTTCCAAGAATCAAAACTCCTGCAGGGGCCTCAGCGAAGTCCCAGGCCCCCTGAAAAGGGTGGTTTAGAAAGAGGTGAGCAGAACTGGACAAAACCAGAAAGCCTAAATCAGCCTGACCTCTCCTGGGGGTCAGCAACCCCAAGGTCCTGAGCTCTTTGTCTTTATTTCCCCACCGGTGTTAAGGCCTCTGGGCTCAGAGAACCCACTTCCTGGGCATCAGCGCAATGCCACAGAAAGTGCCTAACTTGCAAACAGAACAACCGGATT